TATATATAAAGCAAAAAAAAAATGTGTGTGTATTGAAGAGCACTGGCTTAGAATGATATGAACATATTACTGAATACTCATTTCTCATTGGCTTCCCTTTGGCCACGCCCACATATACAACCAAAACCATTAATATACATTCCTCGCATACAATGTACAGTGTATTACCGCTATACTGCGAAACACAGGAAAAAAATATTATCTGCACCAGGATTGCCTACAACTCTCTGAATTGGATGGCATAGATCTTTAATATGTACATTGATATTATTATAAAGTAATTAAAAATATAACAATGGGAAAAATTGGCATACTGAATCAAAAATGATCTAAAATATTCTGTATTTTTGCTTCTCATCATATAATGAGTTAGATATACAGCACAAACAATATCCAGTTATAACCTTGAAAATAAACATTATATTGAGCTATCTTTGACTTTTGTTTTCCTTTGAACATTCAGATACATGTGAGAAAAAATAAAAAAAGAAATACAGATGACAAGTATAAATTTCACATTTCTGCTTATGAAATGGAGGTCCCATGTCACTTTAAAATATAATACTGGTACAATATTTATTCTTTATGGTGCATGTACATATATAAATAAACTTTGCAGTTTAAATTGAATTAAAAATGTGGAAAAAATTACATAAAAGGCTATTTGATTTGTGCTTATTATACACAGGCTAATAACATCTTCAACTTGTAATGCAAAATGATGCATTTTACATATTCACAAACACAAAATATGGTGAAAAATCTATTAGAATAGATGCGGGGATGCAGTTTGCAAAATGCATGAGATCATGTACGAGTCCAGCTTCACTCCGTGAACTTGTCTGTGCTAGATTTAGTTTAGACTATGTTTTTATGTCTGTGGTAAATGTTAGTGTGTTTGCATATGTGTCCAGCTTCAAACATTTTCATGTATGTGCTCGACTTCACACGCCTTGGAAAATATGTAATAGGTTGTGGTAGATGCTTGTGTGTTTGCATATGTGTCCAGCTTCACACATTTTCATGTATGTGCTCGACTTCACACGCCTTGGAAAATATGTAATAGGTTGTGGTAGATGCTTGTGTGTTTGCATATGTGTCCAGCTTCACACATTTTCATGTATGTGCTCGACTTCACACGCCTTGGAAAATATGTAATAGGTTGTGGAAGATGCTTGTGTGTTTGCATATGTGTCCAGCTTCAAACATTTTCATGTGTGTGCTCGACTTCACACGCCTTGAAAAATATGTAATAGGTTGTGGCAGATGCATGTGTATTTGTGTATGTGTCCAGCTTCACACATTTTCATGTATATGCTCGACTTCACACACCTTGGAAAATATGTAATAGGTTATGGTAGATGCATGTTTGCATATGTATCCAGCTTCACGTATTTTCAGGTGTTTGCTCGATTTACACGTCATAAATGTAAAATATGTAACCAAGATGGTGTAAAACGTTTACAAGTGTATGATGCACAAAGAGAAAAAAAGTTCTGTGTGTTTTGTTCTGCAAATAAATAAATTACAATTATGTCCTGTTGAGAAACTGACAATCAAAATAAGTAACATATTCATTTTACATTACTGTACTGAAAATCACACACCCAGTTTAAATTACTGTACTGAAAATTGAATTTGTGCAAAGAATCTGAATGAATAACATTTAAAACCATGAATGCTTGCATGTTCATCTATAAATCTCCAAGATGTTTTGTAACACAATTGGACCATACCGTACATACAAATAAATTACATATTAACTTTTTAATATATGTTGTGTTTCTTATATTTGATTAATAAGGACATATGTGTATAAGGCATAATAATCCTTATATGTCCTTGAGAGCCATTTAGGTTCTTACGCACTTTATTTCTATTTACTAATTATGTGTTGAATGTAGTCAATATTGTTGTAAATATTAATGTGAATTATTAATGGTCAGTGTTGATGAATTATCACAATTAGGTCAAAGATCAATATCTGAGCATTTACGTGGTCAGTATCTATTATTGGTATCTAAATAATTAAATGTATTGGAAAATGACTTGATAAAATTAATTGACCCCATTCAGAATTGTAATTGAACACTTGATTAAATCTGCAAGTGAAGATATATATTCGGAGACTGGACGGGCGGAGAGAGATCTAGAGAGAGAACAAGAACTTTATACAAACGTTTCAGACGTACCACTATACGAACTTTGTGCCCCCCTGTACTAGTTACTAGTTTGGCTTCCAGTGGATATTCAAAATACTAACTCTGATAATATTTTAACTGTACCAGTGCTGACAACATTGTTCTAACTTTATATGCATGAACGTCTATATATTGTGCAACAGTGACTTAATAAATATATTTATAACCGTATCCAAAGTTGTTGTGTTATAGACGTTCATTTGGTGCCGTGACCAGGACTTAGATTCGAACGGGTGACCACTGGTTGGAATACTGTAGAAAAATTTAATGCTTGTGACCAGGAATATCGAAATTTACCATGATCATTTTAATGTCAATGACCAAGGCCATGCGAAGTATAACTAAAATGTCGAACGCGGAGGGAAAATGTGGCAAGGTAGGACGTTACTTTCTGACCCAGAAGTATCTGTAGCCTGACCAAATTTTGATATTCTTAAAAAAATTAATTTTAAAAAAAAGGTTTGGCTTATTGTTTTGGATTCTCTTAATAGATAATTCTGACTTATTAAAGAAATGATTTTAAAAATGAAGAAAGATTTGAAATTTTGTGCAAAGAAATTCTTTCATCATTCAGTGCACATTAAATTCTTTGCTCTAAAAATGTATAAGACTGATTCAAAAGATTGAGATAAAAAAATTCATCATTATCTTGAAAATGAATTTATAAACACAAGGAATGCATTTAATACTATTGTACATATGTAGTGATGATAGTTTGCTTCTAATCAATGTTGTTTAAAAAAAGAGAGAGAAAATATTAAGCAATATCTTATAATGAACAGGCAAGAGAAAATGGTAATGAAGTTCACGTCAGATTTATTGTCACATTTTTTAAATTTTGAATTTTGACTAACTAGATGTATTTTGAAGAATTATTATACAAATTTTGACAAAAATGCAACACTAAATCAAACATACATTTGGGTTCATCGTGGACTAAATTTGAGGCATATGACGTTGGTCTGATACCAAAGACGATGAATAACGTCTGACCCAGTGTTGATGGGCCGTCATAAGTGTTTGTACTAATTCTGACTTCAATTCGCTGCGAGGATGCAATTGTAAAAGGATAGTACCGTGTTTATGTTTTAAAAGAATATTGACTGTGAGTATCACAATTAGTGGAAATGAGGAACACAACAGGTGATAGCAGTCCTTTGAAGATACTTACAGATGAAGAAAACGTTGGACACTAATAATATTTACTGATTTGTGTTGTACTTTTGAACAAATTTACCAAAACTGAATACATGTAAATCAATTACAAATTCTGACGTTGGAGAACAAAAACTCTATTAATTCGGACTTAGCTATTGGACTCAAATTTAAACTCAAAGGTATGGGATCCGGATACACTGGTGACTTCTTATTTGAAGGGCGATACTACCGCCTGGAGTGGTGGTAATTGCACTCCGTCATCTATTAATCCTTTATCTCAAACTGGGAGTTGGCAAAATTGGGTTTATTCTATTTTAATAATCAGCATCGCTTTAATCCTGGGGATTATGGTCCTTATCTATTATAAATGTAAAAGGCGTTGGTCAAGTTGATTTTGGCAAAAGGTTAAGAAAGCAGGCGGAGAGAGGGAACAACTGAAATTGGTGGCGATTAAATCCCCTAGTGAAGATAACACTAGCAGACACAATAAGGCATCTGCACCATCACCAACTACTGCTTTCTTCGCTGGAGTTGACCCTGTCGACACCATTACGAAACTATATCCGAAACTAAGGACGGATGTATTAACACCGAAAACCGATGACCCCGCTGCATTGTAAATAAACACTTATGTAAGTCGATCCCTCTTTCGAATAAGAGCCGAGGATCGTGAATATTGGACAGTCTGTTGATTTCGAGACTAATGTTTAATAAAACATACAATTTCTGTGTTGTTCGTATTCCAGTTGGAGAAAGACTTTATTGTCTCGTGAACTGTGTGTTGTAATAATTTAACCAATCCTTATCTGACTTTTCGTTTAACATGATGTACCTTACAGACGAGGGAGAATTACATTATGCCTATACTTACAAACCAAATAAGCATAAATTACCATGGAAAAATCCACAAGTACAAATTCCATCGACTATGAATTAAACTAATTCATCTCTTGTGAGGGAGGAATGTAACACAATTGGACCATACCGTACATATAAATAAATTACATATTAACTTTTTAATATATGTTGTGTTTCTTATATTTGATTAATAAGGACATATGTGTATAAGGCATAATAATCCTTATATGTCCTTGAGAGCCATTTAGGTTCTTACGCACTTTATTTCTATTTACTAATTATGTGTTGAATGTAGTCAATATTGTTGTAAATATTAATGTGAATTATTAATGGTCAGTGTTGATGAATTATCACAATTAGGTCAAAGATCAATATCTGAGCATTTACGTGGTCAGTATCTATTACTGGTATCTAAATAATTAAATGTATTGGAAAATGACTTGATAAAATTAATTGACCCCATTCAGAATTGTAATTGAACACTTGATTAAATCTGCAAGTGAAGATATATATTCGGAGACTGGACGGGCGGAGAGAGATCTAGAGAGAGAACAAGAACTTTATACAAACGTTTCAGACGTACCACTATACGAACTTTGTGCCCCCCTGTACTAGTTACTAGTTTGGCTTCCAAATACTAACTCTGATAATATTTTAACTGTACCAGTGCTGACAACATTGTTCTAACTTTATATGCATGAACGTCTATATATTGTGCAACAGTGACTTAATAAATATATTTATAACCGTATCCAAAGTTGTTGTGTTATAGTTTTCTAGTTAGTTTGTAGTGCCGCATCGGGCGGTCTTATAACACATTTCATAATGTCAGTTTGCATGAATAAATCAATTTATCCTTGTACCTCATATCTTGAAAATAGATGCCGAAATTCTAGTCTACAGTTTATTTTCACAGCACATCACAAATGGAAACATTCAGGAAAAATAATTCACTAAAAATAAAATCCAAGTTAAATAATCACATGTACATATAAATTCAAGAAATATTAGGTAATATTCCAAGTAAGTAAGTAACTTTATCTATTTCTAACAGTTCTATCTACTAAGTCTTCTATATTTCCATCTTCCTATCTTATTCTAAAATTCTGCCGCACTATATATATATATACTCAAGATCCGCTCCTGACGAGCACATTATAAGATCCTAAAGATCAGGAATCGATACACAGGTCATTACAATCAGCAGGGGGTTATATGTAAGAGGGGGCGATTAATATACAGATAAGATGATAATGTGTGAACAATTAAGTATTGAAGAGTTATATTACAGATAAGATATTCTAAATCGCTACAAGTTTACAAATTCTTGATCATATCATTGATAACAGTACATTTTCTTGATCATGACATCTGTATTGGATTCCCCTCTCTGACATCTTTTCTTGTTCACCAATTAGTTTAACAGTCATCTGGGTACTCAGGTGATGTACAAGTCCTAATAATAACAATTTTCAAAATTATAAAGAAAACAATATAATTTTTAAATAGGTTTTCATTACTACTATTGAAATTAAAGCACAAGCTTTTGAAGACATACTTAAGTAACTTAAAACATCTATAACTAAACATTATGGAAATTTAGACAAAGCGACTCAATGTCAAACAAATGATAGTGATACATCTGTAATATCCATGAAACTTACTGAGATACTTAAAATGTTTATGGTGTGCTTTCACTAAGCTTAGCAGTATATAAACATCTCTTGATTAAATGTTGAAGTCCAATCCTCACCTGACTTGCACATTCATATGGAATGGTTCTATGTTGATAATCTCTTTCAACAATCTTCATCACAACATCTGAAAGTCATCCATCTTCAAAATTAAATCTGACGCTCACCTTTCAAGTGTATATAGACTCCCTGTGCAAATGCATGGAAAATAAGATTTTGAATAAAAAATGAATTATCTCTTCACCATACCTGGCCTCTTTAAAAAATGTGAGGAAATATTTTAAATACTTTTCTTTAGATAAAATCATGTAGTGAGTATCCAACAATGTTGAAAAAAAGTTATCTCTAGAATTTTACATTTATATTGAATGAAAAATGCATTGTTCCCTCTACTTAAAAAAAATCAAAAGACATTACCTAAAATGGAAATAAGGTACAACTGTGACTGGTGTCTCAGGCACAACCAATAAACACAAGACCTTTCCATCCTTAGCAGCATGCATTAGCTCCACATTCTTTGCTTCTACAAAAATATACAATGAAATTTTTTTAAAAAATGAGAGCGAAGCTTTATATTGAATGAAAAATGCATTGTTCACTCTACTTAAAAAAACTCAAAAGACATTACCTAAAATGGAAATAAGGTACAACTGTGACTGGTGTCTCAGGAACAACCAATAAACACAAGACCTTTCAATCCTTAGCAGCATGCATTAGCTCCGCATTCCTTGCTTCTACAAAAAATATACAATGAAAATTAAAAAAAAAATGAGAGCGAAGATTGTTACATGTACTTGGGAGAACAGAGGAAGGAATTTTGAAGTCAGATTATTATTAATTATATTTCTGCCAGTGTTGGCAGGGGCGTAGTATCCGAGGGGCCAGCCCCCCCCCCCTTTTTTTCCAAACCTAACTTTCACTATAGGAAATGTTAATTTTAGAAATGTACCGAAAATGTAGTATAAGATTTGGTACTATAAAAGTAGTTGTCACTGAGAAAAAGTTTACCTACCCCCCCCCCCCCCCCTCCGCCCACCACCACCACCACCATGAAATAGGATTTTCGACTTTGGGCAACTTTAACCTTTTTTTTTTTGGCTTGTCAACTTTAAAAGAATTTTTCTATGCCACTGGTTGGGACGGATAAATTTCCATAATAAATTGAAACGAATTATGCGCAACAAATAAGACACATGTATTACCTTGCAGTCACCGGCCCACATAATGTATACAACTGACATCATCCCAAATCCCTTTCTTTGTTGTTTACTTGGCGGAATTTTCTTTGCCTTCTAGACTTGTTCCCTACTCTGGTTCCCATACATTGCCGTGAATAAGTCCTACGTTTACTGGTTTTGTTCACAAGCTTCAACATCAATAAAATCTCCAGCACATTTACAGCCTGTATTGTAAACTACACTGAAAACATACTTTACACACAATTTTCAGCTCAGTATTATGTTATCCTCTTCATTCAAGTAATATGTAAACTCTTCTCGAATGTAAAACGAACGATCTACTCTTAACAGTAACCCAAATATGGCACTGTGTATTCGGTTGAATAGCCAATCATTTCAAATCAAGTTGAGCGGGTCTGCATCGTTATTTTGACGAAGTTTGAAACCAGTGGTAATTTTTTGGCACTTCATCTAGATTTGAGAAGATTCTTGCCTTGACAACTGCTCGAACTCCCGGGTTGGCATGCTCTGAAGGTTTGTTTACGATTTCCAGCCGTTTTCACTTTCACTTTCAGACCAGTACACATTGTGCATGTTGTGAAAGAATGAAACTAATCAAAGTCACGGTAAACGACGCTTTGTATGTTTTTTTTCTGCTAGGATATTAGATAAGTACTTTTGATAATTTGGTGATTAAATGTTTATGTGCGTCACTTTATCCTGTAAAGGTGTATGAATCATAGGGGCTTATCTTCCGGATTGATAAATGTAAAATAATTTTAAAAATTTTTATCTACATTAACCATGTTAACTACACTCTAAAAGTTGCTTTAATAAAGATTCTGATCAGGCAAGAAAAATAATGTTTAAAGAAAAGTACTACACCTATATACATAAACTCTCAACTTTGAGAGTTTATTTATTTTTATTTATATCATTTTGTATTTTAAACTGTGTCCATTTGCTTAAAACACAGGTATAGTGAATTAAGTATGCAGATTGTTGAAGGGAAAACATCAAGACGGGGCGAGGAAGACAACAAAACATGATTACCCAGATTGAGGATCCCAGTGTTCTTTGGTACAAGCACATTTTAATAATAAATTTCATGAAATCTGTTACTTGAACAAACATTTACATTATTTAGTGCTTGACTTGCTCGGGAGTCAATATCGTCATATTTTTGTAAAAAAAAATGTTTAATTTCCTTTGTATAGTCTGAAGCTACTCAGCCTACCATGAGAAAATTAAACGATCTGTCATAAAGAAGATGCGGGTTCTCAACTTTCATATTATAAATGGCAAGTATTGTTTAGAACTAAATTTAGATTATTCTTGATAAAAAATAACATAAGGGTGTTTGTCAATTCATAGCTATTATATGTGATTACGCTGTGTATTAATTTTCAAAATCAATTCATTCTCTGGTGACCAAGTGCAGCAGTTTGCTTCAAACTCATAATTTTGTTTTAAAAATATTGACTATATTTGTCCATATGTTCAAAATGTTAATCACGGTATGAATTCTATTTCAGCATGATTGTCATCTTCAATTTGAGGGACTCTCACCTAAAGTCCTTTTACTGTTCCATATTAGGAAAAAGGTCATGAGCTGAAACATGCGATTGGGGAAAAAGGTACATATATCCTAAACCATAACTTCAGTATCATTCTGTATACGTGTACAGCTAAACTAAATACCGTATAAGTGGAAATGTTAGCGACACGCAAATTTTACGATTTGTCCTTTAAAACTGGTAATTCATTTTTAGCAGGATGCTATTTTAGCAATTTTGAAATGCACATTAAATAAGCTATCACAAATAAAACGCAATTAATTTTTAGCGATATTTAATTTTAGCGATCTCGGCACCATCGCTAATAATGCCAAATTTAATCCTTGCTAAAAATTCTACTTATACGGTATGTAGCACTATATTGTTCTTTTTGTAAACTGACAAATGAGACGTTAGGAAACCTATGATTTCTCAATATTTCAGGGATTTATTCTTTGTTTTTGTGTAGTACCCTTAAAAAATACATATTTCTCAAATTGTAATTTATAGGCTTCTTGTGATAAGAGATACATGACCTAACCCATTGATTCTTCATATAATATGTCAATAACAAGAGTTCCACTCATCTTATTAAATTAATAAATTTACATTTTTAGCTCACCTGAGCCGAAGGCTCAAGTGAGCTTTTCTGATCACATTTTGTCCGGCGTCCGTCTGTCCGTCTGTCTGTAAACTTTTCACATTTTCGACTTCTTCTCAAGAACCACTGGGCCAATTTCAACCAAACTTGCCACAAAGTATCCTTGGGTGAAGGGGATTCAAGTTTGTTCAAAGGAAGGGCCACTCCCTCATTCAAGGGGGAGATAATTGGGAATTAATGAAAATTTGGTGGCATATTTTAAAAATCTTCTTCTCAAGAACCATTGGGACAGCAAAGATGAAACTCGTGTGGAATCATCCTCAGGTAGTGTAGATTCTAGTTTGTTCAAATCATGACCCCGGGGGTAGGGCGGGGCCAAAATGGCCGACCAAAGTTTTACATAGAAATATATAGGAAAATTCTTTAAAAATCTTCTTCTTAAGAATGACAAAGCCATAATTCCTCATATTTATATGGGAGCATGCTCAGGTAGTGTAGATTCAAGTTTGTTCAAATCATGACCCCCGGGGGTAGGGCGGGGCCAAAATGGCCGACCAAAGTTTTACATAGAAATATATAGGAAAATTCTCTAGAAATCTACTTCTCAAGAATAGCAAAGCCATAATTGATCATATTTATATGGAAGCATCCTCAGGTAGTGTAGATTCAAGTTTATTCAAATCATGACCCCCAGGGGTAGGGCGGGGCCAAAATGGCCGACCAAAGTTTTACATAGAAATATATAGGAAAATTCTTTAAATATCTTCTTCTCAAGAATAACAAAGCCATAATTGATCATATTTATATGGAAGCATCCTCAGGTAATGTAGATTCAAATTTATTCAAATCATGACCCCCAGGGGTAGGGCAGGGCCAAAATGGCCATCCAAAGTTTTACATAGAAATGTATAGGAAAATTCTTTAGAAATCTTCTTCTCAAGAATAGCATAGCCATAATTGATCATATTTATATGGAAGCATCCTCAGGTAGTGTAGATTCAAGTTTATTTAAATCATGACCCCCAGGGGTAGGGCGGGGCCAAAATGGCCGACCAAAATTTTACATAGAAATGTATAGGAAAATTCTTTAAAAATCTTCTTCTCAAGAATGACAAAGCCATAATTGATCATATTTTTATGGAATCATCCTCGGTTAGTGTAGATTCAAGTTTGTTCAAATCATGACCCCCAGGGGTAGGGCGGGGCCAAAATGGCCGACCAAATTTTTACGTAGAAATGTATAGGAAAATTCTTTAAAAATCTTCTTCTCAAGAATAGCAAAGCCATGATTGGTCTTTGGACTTCTTTTGGATTTAAGCTTTTCAAGTATAAACCAATTCTGCTTTTTCCTAGCCACAGTGCTCAGGTGAGCGATGTGGCCCATGGGCCTCTTGTTTTGCTTTTGAGGTTAAAGGTCATGTATGAACTGTTTATTTATTAGTAAGGTTGTGCCTTGTTTTTATTTTTATTAATCATGGTATTGTGAATTCTGATAACACAGACGCTGTTGAAAATATTCATACTTATGCATGGCACTGAAAAAAATCCTTTTTTTTCTTTTAGGAAAAGCATTAGGAAAATGCCTGCATGGGGAGAAAAGTTTTGAACTCTGAAAAGGGAGGTGTGACAAAAACATTTTGACAGTTGTTCAGTACCCTTAAAAAATACATATTTCTCAAATTGTAATTTATAGGCTTCTTGTGATAAGAGATACATGACCTAACCCATTGATTCTTCATATACAGGTAACTCTCGATACCTCGAAGTCCGCGGGACCGAGGAAAAACTTCGAGAGATCAAGAGTTCGAGATTTCAAGAGTCCGGATTTTTCCGGGTTTGTTTGACAGGTTTTAAAATTAGTCATACCGGACGTAATGATTTTCATGCAGTCCTTACCTTTTACACGTGGTGTTTACAAAACAACGATATGTTTTAGTATTTTAGATGAATATATATTAAACTGAGTAAAGCAAAAATGTACTTCGTAAGTTGTTTATTTTTTTTTTTTATCATAAAGATATCATTTCTACGCATTCGTTATATGAAAACGGCATTTTACCAGCGTAGCATGTTACACAGCATTGTGACTTTTCCAAACATGTGCATTGAACGAAATTCTGTATGTATTTGTCCAAGAAAAGTAGTCAAATTGACAGCGAGGCTGTTTCTGAATTTTCATATATATCGTTAAACTTTGAAACTGATCCGAAATAAAAATTTAATTCATTAAGTGTTTCGTCTCGTAATCTGCCATTACAATTTCTCAGCGACACTACGTTTCTGAATTATCGTAATACAGACGATGATAATTATTTTGATAGCATATAGGCACCATAAGATTAATTATAAATCAATTATCACCTTGCAGAATAAGTGTCACCTGAATAAACATCCCGTTTCACGAGACCCGCGTCTTCTGCCTGGGGTCATTAAATGTCCAGGCAGTGGCGTAGCATCGTTTTTGAAAGTGGGGGGCCAGGCAGAGAAAAACTTTTTTTACTTACCTGAAAAAGTTGATAAGCAAAAAAAAAAAAAAAAAGTGTAAAACTTGCCCAAAGTCGAAAATCCTATTTCATTTCGGGGGGTGGGGGGGGGGGGTAGGTAAACTTTTTCCCAGTGTCAACTACTTTTAGTACCAATTCTTATACTACATTTTCGGTACATTTCTAAAAGTGGAGGGGCCAACCAGGCTTTCAATTAACATTTCCTATAGTGTAAGTAATGTTGGGAAAAAAGTGGGGGGGGGGGCAGGCCCCCCTGGCCCCCCCCCGGATACTACGCCCCTGCCAGGTAAAGTTGCTAATTATGTAACGTTGTATACACATAGCCACTTCGAAGTATCAAGGGTAAATTTCAATAGAATATGCACAGCGGGACTGCAATTTTACTTCGAGGGATCAAGGGTTTCGAGAGATCAAGAGTTCGAGAAATCAAGGGTAAATTTGCTTAGTTATATAGGGAAAAAATTCTGGACCGGAGACTCACTTCGAGCGATCGAGAACTTCGAGAGATCGAAGTTCGAGCCATCAAGAGTTACCTGTAATATGTCAATAACAAGAGTTCCACTCATCTTATTAAATTAATAAATTTACATTTTTTTGCTTTTGAGGTTAAAGGTCATGTAGGAACTGTTTATTTATTAGTAAGGTTGTGCCTTGTTTTTATTTTTATTAATCATGGTATTGTGAATTCTGATAACACAGACGCTGTTGAAAATATTCATACTTATGAAAAAAATCCTTTTTTTTTCTTTTAGGAAAAGCATTAGGAAAATGCCTGCATGGGGAGAAAAGTTTTGAACTCTGAAAAGGGAGATGTGACAAAAACATTTTGACAGTTGTTGATTTCCACTAAAACCAATATCCACAAGAAAGAGGACATAGTTTTATGTTGATTCACAACTTTAAATTCAAGAATGTACAGTTGGTTATATTATAAAACATGTCACATACAAAAAAATGTATTTGTAAAATGTACTCTGTCTTTGATATGTATGTAAT